AAAAGCAAAGTTTGTAACATAGTAACATTGCAACGCTTTATGTGTCGTGAAGTTCTTTGAGATTGATAACATTGTTGCGTTCATGTAACATTAAATGCTCGTATTATTTGTAATGGCAACATTTTAAAATGAATTCCATACCACAGTTATATCTAAACTATATACCAAACGTAAAGGTTTCATGCACTCCTCTCCAGTCAGATTAGATAGGAAGGGAAGGTGTAGCAGATGGGATGTACAGGGAACGGACATCTGTAATTTACGTATTTTTGCAGATAACTGAGAACACTTATTTCGTTCTTTAACTTTGAACTGGTTACTTTGCAATATATAATACTAAAAATAATTGACAAACTTAAATTTATATCCCTCATTTACTTGTAATAACATCAAACTAATAGGAAATTATGCAAAATGTAAATCCATTGTTTAGTACGCAATATAATGGGCAGTTCTGTTTATATTTATGTTTGTTCATGAATTTTAAATATATTGACGACCGCGCTGTTGGCTGTTTCAATACAATTATGTAAATTTAGCCTATTTGTAAACCTGTGATATGGACTGCATTGATTTCCAAATTGTTGTGGTTATGATTTTATCACTGCCGTAGATATCCTCGTATACAGGTTACAAATTAATGTATAACATAACACAACGTAACTAAGCAATGAAATTAAGTGTTGATAAAGTATGAACGGTTATCGCTGTCGGATTGTTAAAATCTAAAGTTAAACATTTGTAAGTACTTATAATAAAATAAGAAACTAAGTTATTTCTTAAAACTTAAAAAATTAAAATCTAACTGACATCCCACCATCACCAGCACACTACACGTCCCCACCGAGGGGCTCGGAGCCTACCCTAATAAGGGGTGACTATATCTTTGAATTTCTTTGCAGATATGTGCAGGCATCACGATATTTTCCTTCACCGTAAGAACGTCGGGTAAATTATGTACATATGAAAATTCGAAAAATCGAAAATCACATTGGTACGTGGCGGGATTCGTACCTAAGACCTGTAGATTACAAGTCAAGTGTTCAAACTTAACTTAAAACTTAATTTAAAACGCAGTGTAATTATTTTCTTGTAAGAAATACACGCAGAAAGTTTAACATACAACACCTTCGGGAGCATTTATTTCAAATAGTTATGTAGTTTCATGAATTGAAAATATGGAAATATTCGAAGTAGAGGTCTCTAAAGCCTCTTATAGCAGGTGTTTGTTGTTTTATATTATCGAAAAAATTCTTTCTTGTTCACGCTTTTTTTCATAAATATTTATACCCACGTATCGTGTTTGCAAAATAGAGAATAGCTATGTGAAAGAAGTTTCGAAGCATCTCGTAAACATTGATGTAATGTTTAGCTTATTTTTATTTTCGTACCTCAGTTTTATTTTATTTATCCGTATAATTTTCAACGAAAAAAATTAAACCATTTAATTCTACGTTTATTTTGTACAGTTTTCTTTAGATATGTTACGAATTTAGTTTTTAAGTATTTAAAAAAAAAATATTGTGTAAAATGATATTTTTACTTATGCTACTTATGTTCTCTGAATATACATTAACATCTTATTAAAACTTACAAACGTTAATCACTTAATTAGAGCCCCTGTAGACTATAGACATCGGCCTTATATAGTATAGTTTAGTTAAACGCTTCATTAGTGTAAACATGGAGGTGCGCATAATACACCCATTTTGTTTTTCAAACTCTCTGCCGATAAAAAGTCTGTGGTTTCTTAAAGTTATTCACAATCATTACAATGAGAGACTTTTCTGATTAATGTGCTAACGTTCAACTTCTTGCGCAAGTGGCAAAACTATTCTATCTTTTGAGTACTTTTACGAGAACACAAAAGCCCATCCGGGTGAAATTGCCCGCAGCTGTTACTTGGGAGACCTTTGAAGAAGTTTCTCGATTTTATATCGTTACTTTGTTGTTCTCATTTCTATTTATACTTTGTAACTCCAGTATTACAATAAGTCTGTGATATTTTTAGTTAATTCGAAGCTTTTTTCTGTACTTCTGGAAATTGTGCTTTTGTTTTTCATATAAAAATTAAAACATTAAAAGTTGATTTGATATCACTAATCTTTTAATTTAAGTGTATATTATAACAGAGATTGTAAGGTAAATATTTAAGATTCCTATAAATATATATGTATTTTATTATAAACATTGTATAATAGCTAAAAGTAATTTATAATGGCGAAATGGATATATAAAAAAGTGAAACACAAGACGAGGACTTTTATTATGAGTAATTGAATATCATCCATCACTCACAGAGGGCGCTCGCCTGACTGTTACTGGCTTACCGCACATTGTTTCCTTGATCATTCTCTTATAAATAATTATCTTACCTTTTGTTAGATTTATTACGGTTATTTATGATTTAAAATATAGAGAACGTACGGCTGACAAGTTGCAAAGTTACTTTACTTTGAGTTTCTGGAAATATCTGTTCACAAATACACTGATAACCTAACCTTACTTTCATAAAACTACTTAAAAACGACTTTGGTTGTAAGAAAACAATCTATTATTTTCACAAAAGAGACGTAGTTTTAGAAAATAAATAAAAAATATAAACGGAAATTTAAATAAAGTCATCCTTTGAAACTGTTCCAGAGACTTTTAGTCTATTTTTGGAGTACAGAAATAAAACATTCATTGTGTTGCCGCAGGGTGAGAGCAAAGGATGGCCTCTCTAAATACCACCTACAAAGCGAGGTCAACTCGCATCACAAAGGGACGTCTTTATCCCGAATACGTTTGTAAGTCTCCAGATTTGTCGAAAACACGGAGCTTCCTTTTCTATAAAACGCAATTATAAAGTTTCAGAAATGTCAACTAACTAGCTGTTTTCCTGCGGCTTCATCCGCGTTAAATTAAAAAACTTTATTTCATTGTCTAAATTATCAAGTTCTCAATTGCAAATGTCAAAATTACCGTTACCATAATAATGTTACTTCCTTAATGTTGGCAGCTCGTAGTTTATGGTCCTTTTCCCACGTGAGGGTTTTTTCCAATTTATGAACCTCCTAAGTTTAGTACGTGACAAAAAAGTAGCCTAAAGCTAAGTTTAGGGCTTTTAATAAAAAAAAGCATTTTTCAAAAATATGCTGTAATTGCTGACATCTTAGGCGACAAAGAAGTGTGGATTTACGCTTTATTATATTAGTATATAGTATTATTTATTATGTCACGTTAACCAAAAAAATCTGTCATAATGAATAACCTTCTTATTTTAATGAGTTGGTCGGCATAGTACTCTCTTATGAATCTCTATTAGCCATCATATTTGAATACACTATTATCTCACATGTGCATTTCTTCTGTGTAATAGAGGTTAAGCCTTTTTAATGTTTCACAATCCATTCATACCTTTTTCGATCTTCCATTTTACTCTTCTTTTCCAATCTTATATAGCCTAAAATCGTTCATAGTAATACTTACATTTGAACAAAACAGAAGTAATAAAACATAATTCTTATACAAAAGGAAGCTTTGTTGGTTCCCTTGGCTAATGTCAGTTGGAGCGATAACAATGCAGCCTGCGTTCGTTTGCAGAACGCGATGTTGAAACTTTGCAGGAAGCTTGCGAATGGAAATGAAAGCTCTCCCAGAGTGTCTGGAATTTATATACAACAATGAAAGTATTGTGTTGCATAAAATGAATAGAAAATTAACGGCACAAGTTATTTTAATTCCAGTTGAGAATATGATGTTATTATAGTTGTTTTTTTCTTAGCACAGTAAAATTTTTTTTATGGGTTGTTTTTTTTAATTCTCAATTTACAATTTAGAGATTAAATAAGATATATATATTAATAAGAATAATAAGATATATAATAATAAGAATTTATGTAACAATTATTTTATACATTTCAAATGACTAGAAAATAAATAACTCGAGGTTGATCTTACATCAGACCTCTTCAACTTTGTGACACAATATGACTTGACCTCAATCCGCGACTTACTTTTCTCTGCTGCCCTCTGGCGGTGAAACAAATGAATGTTTTATCTTCGTACACTTTAAAATAAAAGTCACCGGGGAATTTGAAATACCTACATATAAATGTTAAAACTTGTTATTGTTTCTGTTTATTTCAGAGACAAAGGTTAATAAAATCATTTAAGATAAACAGTTAAATTTAAATTATTTAAACTTTCGTGAGACATTTTTATAACTAACTATTTTACGGCTATTACTGAAGAAAAGAAAGAAGACGGACCCCCGCAGGGTGCGAAGCTAGGCGGTGCCTCCACCGAAAAAATTAGACGTGAGTAATAGCCGTAAAATAATTAGTTAGTTAAATTTATTTTACGTAAAAATTTCTACTATAAAAATTTAAGTATTACACTGTAACAATTTCTTGGGTATCAATTGAATTTTGTTCACGGTTTGTCAACGATCATTTATTACAATTTATTTGGTCAATGAGTTGGAAAATGTTACATTATTGGATTCGCTGCGGCTCCTTGGTCAGCGGTATTAAGCTCATGTTTGGGTCAGGCGACTTTGAAGCTACGTTGATGCAGAAATAAACCAGAATGAACAATAATTTTCACCTACAGATAAAATTATTGGCCATAACCTAGAGGGATAGAGATTATGAATTTCCATTTCTAGCACACATTTTTAATACAATTTTATAACTTTCTACCCTTATATACTCATGTATTAAAGGTCCTTAGTCCTTAGTCCCGCTTCGTTTCCTATGAACTTATATGGAGGTGCGCACACTACTCGATTTTTAGTCGTGCAAGTAAACAGTTAAGTTGGCTGCGAAACAATTGACAATTGCTCAACAGTTGTGCGATAGTTTAGTCAAATGTGTGCAACCGATCTTAAATAAACTTTCTCTAGAATACCGAAAATTCAATCGATAAAGATTTTACTCCTCTACCAGAAATGTCAAGCTGGTTTTTAATGGCTTGAAAAGATAAAGATAAAGATAAAGTGCATTATCTTGTTTCAGAAGAATGTCTCCGCTGTGGTGGGCATTGCCACTGCTGCTGGCAGCTGCAAGCGCGGACGAGGCCACTGACCCTGAGGGCCTGCTAGATACTGGTACAGGTAAGGATTTCGAACTATAACTTAGCTTCGAATCATAACTGAAATGTTTTTTAAACACTTTCTTTGGACATTGAAATATCATTTGAGAACCAGGATCCTATTATTAATAATTAAAGTAGCTTTAAAACTTCTAACATGTCGTTATTTTTTCCTTACTGTCTAAAGAAATAAGAAGCTTACGACAGACCATTTGTTAGCAACAGCTAACCTTGTAATCTAATGGCAAGTAATCTTCTTAACAGCGCTCTGCAAATAAACAAACTCAATTTCCTTAATCACCGGCCTTTCGGCCCTTTTATAAAATGTCAGAATAAAAATATTGTATTATGTAAATAGAATAAAAAGCAATTTCATCAAACTGTCACAAACAATCCCATGAATTTGTGGAACGTATTTACTTTGAAAAAAGCTGCCTCAGTACACTAAGCTTAATGACGCGTAGCGTCGTAGAGGTGACGTAGCAGAAGCGTAGAGATTAGCTAAAGCTACGATCACCGTAGACTGGTACTTTACTGTAACAGCACAAGAAATACATAATACTTTCGGAGTTTTTATACCAAGGAGGTACATTTGTCGTAATTTTACTAGTAAAAAATTAATAGTGGACTATTTCTTTTTAAAATTATCCTCCATCGAGTACCATTCGTAATGTTTTTGCGTTGCATATAAGTATACTATAGAGAATAAGTATTCTTTTCAAAAAAATAAAACGAAAATTCATATCGACATGTAAGTGTTCCCTTCGACCTTTGGACGGAAGCCAATCCAATGTTCGTGAATCGTGCAAATATTTATTCGACTCAATACGATTTTTGTTATCGAAAAGCACAATTTCCAGTTTAATTTATACAAAAGATATGTGGCAATAAATAAAACGTGCATTATCTTAAGTAGAGATACTATAAAATCACACAGCAGTGTTAATAGCGGAATTTAAAAGGAAGTAAAATTGATTCCAATATTTTTATCTCCACGCTGTTAAAAAAATAATTGTAAATCTTACAAACTAATTCAAAGTACGATACTAACGGTACTATTTCTTAAAATGATTCACCAAAAATCTGTTGTTATTTCCGCATTTCTTATAAAAAAATATGTTTTGCTTGTCTTATCTCGCATAGAGGAGTAACGGCGGGACTAATCGCCTTCGCTTCGCAAAACACGAGCAAATTGCCTCCATTAGTGTGCACAAGTGGACGCCATGGCAACCTTTGTTGTGACCGCCCTCTCCTATTTTATTTCAATCATTATTTTTTATGTTATGGCTGAAGTGTCTTTAAAACTTTTTTGTTGTTTTAATTATTGATATTAGTCAATGATATCTTCTGCCTAATACAATCTATACTATTATAATAAAGCGTAAACACACACTTCTTTGTTGCCTAAGATATCAGCAATTACAGAATATTTTTGAATAATTATTTTTTTAACAAAAAGCCCTCCACTTACCTCTTGCTTTAGACTATATATTTTCACACCATTAACCTTAGGGGCTAAATATTTTGGATAAAAACCCTACTGTGGGAAATAGACAATAAGTTGCTGCCAACATCAAGAAAAGAGGTTGCTAAGGTTTGTCACGTCATGTCATTTTTACATTTTCTATTGATTATTTGACAAATGTAAACAATAAAGTAAAATTTTCATAATTTCATGCGGATGAAGCCGCACGGGAACAACTAGTTTTAACTAAGCTTCAAAAAAGCAGAAAACTTGAATTATTGGTATACACCTTTCAGACTGCCGTAAAAATTATATAAATTGTGTCATAGCGAAAGTTAGTAATTTCATACAAGTCGAGGAGAGTTGCGAACTCGTATGCCATACATTATTCATTCTCAGTTTGACTGTAATGCGATTACGTGCCGCTCCTCGCCCTCACAAACTCCCCAAACTCAGGCAGACAATAATCACGTTAACAAAGTTTACGTTATATTGATAATATAATGAAACAAGACATAAACATGTAAACATTTTTTAAAAAGTAATTTTTTTAAATAGAGAGATATCTCGGATAAACGCTATAACTCCGAGATCTCTGAAGTAAAATACTTTAGGTGTACATCACTAGTAATGATCCTCCATCATCTGATTTGCTGATAAAACCCACGTTATATGAAATAACACATGTTTTTAAACATGTTGTAACCGGGTTACCTAATCCTAACCCGGCAAGGCTATGTTTAATTGATCTCTGAAGTGGTCAATTTTTTGAAGAAAAAACCTCATCGAGTTTCGTGAAAATTTGTTTTGAATATTTTGAATGTAGAATTTTGCTACATTTTAAATCTTTTGTTTTTTTTTTACAATTGATTATTCCAGTAATAGTGAATTTTATTAAATGAAATTTGTCATTAAATTGTTCTTAAAAGCCTTTTTGTTGGAACGGAAACCAAGAGTGATTTCGAATTTCACGCTTTGGTAGACGCTAAAATTGCCTTCGTTTATGGATGTACTCGAATCGCATGGAATGTAGAAATCATATTAAACATTATTTCACCACATTATTCACGACACAAATTAGAATGTTACTAGAGTTTAATACAAATAGTTTTCTCTTTGTTATTTTAACATGTTCGCAAACTGCGTAGCTCTCAGAGCTTCGCTTCGCTACATAAGCTGTTACTTTATGCAAATATTTTATCTTCAATATTGTACAAATTAATGAAGATAATCTCATGCGTAAATTTTCGCATCTCTGCGAGTCGCACGACTCTCGGAATAATAATGTCTCCCGGGGGGATATTACGAGGTCTTTTGTAAGCGACACGATGTTTACTTTATATTTTTTTTATTTACAAATATTAAATATACCCTCATTTAAAATACAGTCTTGACGAAGTTAATTTGTTACGATGTTTGTATAAAAAGACTGCTGTTGATTATATTGTGGTTAAAAGAAAATGTTTAAAATATAAGTTTTGAGTTTTGAGGACTGATATGGATAATTTTAAATGTCTATTTAAAAATGCTTAATCTTATTAAATAACTAATGCACCATAGTAATAGTTACAGGCTAAGTGGAAATTATTTATGGCGAAATTAAAATTAACTTATTGAAACTTTCGTGAGACATTATATTATTCGTACTGTATAATTTATAACACGGTTAAAACTCACTTGGGAACTTTTGGTGTAGGCACCGTCCAGTTTCAGACCCGTCGGGGGTCCTTCTTCAGGCTGAGTGGTTGCTGGCTTTATTCGCATCAAGTCGGGACGGTCACTCCATGTCACACTGAAGAAGGACCCCAAACAGGTCTGAAACTGGTCGGTGCTTACGAAAGCTCCCACGTGAGTTTTAGCAGAGTTATAAATTAGGAATTTAAATTGTTTTTTTTCCGTTCCTATGAATATAATAACATTCAATAAGAGATTAACTGGTGCGACATTAAAAATTGTCAAGCGCAGATATTCCTTTTCATATCGGAATCAGTGCGGCTGTTTGTTCCCTGTCACTCGCACTGCGCCTTTCTTTCGATGTTATTGGAAAAGCGTTTTATATTAAAAGGGCGTAAAATATTCTTATTTATACTTCTGGAATAAACTCCGAAACTACTCAACAAATCTTGTTGAAATTGTAAAAAAAAGTTGTTAACTTTATAACTTGAGAGTTAAAAAGCATAGTATTTATTATCGAAATGAAATGTTTGTAGTAAGAAACATAGTCTATGTTAGTGATAAATTACCTTTCTAATGATGTAATAATTTTTAAATCGGCCTATAGTAGTTTTTACGTGAATCAAATACATACAAAAATTTAAAAATACCTTTTATCTTTATAACTAGCTGTTCCCATGCGGCTTCGTCCGCAGGTAATTATAAAAACTTCATATTATCTTTTACATTTGTCAATTTATTAATTGCAAATGTCAAAATGACACGACATGTGACAATTCATGCTAATCTTGCATCCTTGATGTTGGCAGCAACTTATGGTCTCTTTCTCACATTAGGATTTTTATCCAATTTATTTACCAACTAAGTTCAATAGCGTGAAAATATATAGCCTAAAGCGTGAAGTAAGTGTAGGGCTAATTATTAAAAAAATAGTTCAAAAATATGCTGTAATTTGACGTCTTAGGCAACAAAGAAGAGTGCGTTTACGCTTTATTATAATAGTATAGATATATAATAGTATAGATATATAATAGTATAGATATAGATATTAGTTAGTATAGATTAATACGAACCCGTGCAAAATTAAGGTGCGTTGTTAAAATAATTAAAAGATTCTACATATTTTTTTTAAAAAAGTATGGTTGTAGAAGTAGTTTTGTATTGTAGCAAAAATATATTATACAAACAAGTATTTAGAAACGTGGTCGGAAGCAAAGGAAATGAAGTTGGGGTCTATACAGCGCTTCATATTTCCGACAGGAGATATTATATGACAAGGAAATTGTTTATTCGACATATTTGGACCCAATCTTAGATGAGTAATATTTTCAAAATACTTTAACTAACCTCCGTCAGAAATTAAACCTTTATCATCAACAACCTTTCACTGCGACTCCGTCCGCGTGAAATTAAAAAATAATATAAAACATAGCCTATGTTGATCACTGATAACGTAGCTTTTTAATGGTGTAAAAATTTTTGAATTCGGCCCACTAGTTTTTGATTTATTATTACAATTAAACAAAGTTTTCCTCTTTATAATATTACTATAGATAAAAATTGTCGTCTAAAATAGGACATTCTGTTTTTACCTATGTATTTATACATATTTACTTATGTTCAAAAATAAGTAAATAAGAGTATGATAAAGTATAAGTATGAAACTACCGTGAACCGTATTACGGGGTCTTGGGAAAGCATTAATTTATTCATTGAAAAAATAGCTCAAATTATCCTTATATAATTATGTTATGTAACGCCGAGCAACCCCCCTCCTCGCAGCCGTATGAGCCCCGCAAGCGTCCGTTATCGCCGACAATGATTGTAGCGACAGGCGTAATTGCCTGCGCTCGGCAAAACACGCCAAATTACCTACATTACCG